TGTAAGGGTTTTACTTTATACTACCTCCATTTTTTTTAGTTGACACGTTTTGATTTTAGCACTATTCACATACTCCCCTTTGACGATGTTTAGTGCTTTATATGTAATGAAAAATACAGTCATGTGAGATTTTGTTAGATTCGCCATGATATATATTTTCAAAATATCAAATTTTCACAATTTCTGCTTATTGGTAATCAAATATATGAATGGTTGAAGTTGTGCATTGGCTAACGTGACTAAAGAAACGTGTCAACTAAAAAGAAACTATATTTTAAATTAACACTACATTTTTTTTACTTTCTTATATTATATTCATATCATTTGAATGCTGAAGAACAACAAAAATGGCAAGAAAAAATCACACTAAGAATAACCACCATGTGTCATTCTTGGCAAATATTATTGAAGTATCCATAGAGTATTAATTTATATATGTAAAAGATTTGTTTCTTAAATATATATTTTTTTTTTCAAAAAAATAAAATTAAGAACACACTAGGAGATGACACGTGTCATTGCTAGTGTGTCTTTTAGTGTGTGTGTGTATATATATATATATTTTATTTTTTTTGAATGGAATAGGGAGGGGTGATTTCATTAAATAATAATAGTCATTCGGCACTTACAATCATCCCTTAAGAGACCTAAATTCTCAATACAAGTATTTAACACCTCTAAACTAATGGCATCGCTTCTGAACTACTTCTGAATAATTTTAGATATCTCTCCATGTTCTTGACGGAGCTCCATTGATCTATAGTCGCGAAAGTGATAAAACTTGATTGGTCATCAAGATCGGTAAATTTGCAAGACGAATCTTCTAAATCTGCACCCCTAAACCAACAGACCCACATTTCCACAAATTTGCAAGACAAATTTTCCAAATTTGTATCCCTGCACACACGAAAAACAAACAAACAATTCTAAAAATCCCACCATTAGGGAACTGACTAAACCCTACATGGAGGGACTAATTATAATCACCATACTATTGGTGATATTTATTGACAAAAACATTAAATTGAAGAAGAATTTGTGGCTTACCATCGATAAAATCGATGACAGCCCCTAAAATTTACTATGGTGCTTTTAGTATATAATTATTGATTGATTAAGAAGTTTTGAACGCAAAATTCTTATGTGCAATCGGTTTTATCTTTATTTCAAAAATCTACTTCTCTTAAAAATCATCCATTTAAAGTTGAGAGAATGGATTGGGCTGAGCCAACTTTATCACCAAACTTGCTAGATTGAAAGGTCGATTTGGATTATTTGGGTCAACAGGATATGCTCCTGTTGATTAGCCATGCATGTCAATACTTTCAAAATAATTTAGGGTGACTTATTAAAGTACTCATGGGTGACTTGTGTTAACGTTGCGTGTAAGGGTTTAACTTGATACGTGTTTCATCTACAAGTATAAATTGATCACGTCTAAAAAAATTCCAAACAGGGAATAATCCATTTGAGATTATGCCATATGATTTACGATGATTATTGCTACAAGTATTAAATAAACCTACCATTGGAATGGTCACATTCACATAGGAGTGGTCATAAACAATTCCAATGGTTCTTTGCTACTAGTTTTAGTCAAATAAGTCATTGGTCCGAATAGAGAATTCATTAAATAAGGGTGGAATGGCTGCGCTTCCACGTTCATATAGAGGAGTAGAGGAAATATATGCATGTTATAAATGACTTTTCGTTATTAATGAGAAAATTAGGTCTTCCATGTTTCCATCAACAACCACAATAGTCCTTAATGTAATTAGGCATGAATAATATGATTAATGGAGGCGTTACCCAATTAAAAAGCCCTATCACTCATATGTACTAGCAAAAAACAGTACAAATTACACTTGTATTCTTGGTATAGTCCAATAATTAGGTATAGCCGTATGGGTGTATGGTAGTTAATCATACTCATGTCGTGTCTTTGTATTGTGATTTCCATCATCGATCAAGCATGATTCATGGTACAACATGATGATCTCGTGCCAAGTCAAGCCATCAAATTAGACATTATATTGCCCTACATATCGAGTCACGCAATATAGTTCCAATCCAAAGAAAACTTTTGGGCTGAAGTTTGTCCTGGCATGTTGATTTCCAACGACCTAATACGAACAATGTTATTGTAGGTTGCATCAAATTCATGATAGATCATTTCTTACTTCAAATGTGCCCAAAGTGCCAATATTAAATGGGACCTTTTAAAGCTTTTGCTTTCCCTAAAGATATATACTCTGTTTTTTCATAAGGTAGTTTGAGCGGCTGAGGTAAGGATTTACAACTTGGAAATCTTATAAACTTTCTCAAGATCTTTCATTATTGTCCAAAAGAAGTATGAAAACATGCTCTTAAAGAAAAATCAATTTTGAGCCATCAAAATAGTAATCCCTTGTCAAATTATTGTCATATACTTCCTCTGTTCTAGTAATACAACTGGACTTTTGCACTATTCATCATACTTGTTTGACCACAAATTATGATTTGTACGTAAAGTAAAATATAGTCATGTGGGGTCTTATTAGATTCGTCTCGTAAAATACTTTCACAATATCAACTTTTTATAATTTTTACTCTTATATAATTATAGATATTTAACATATAAAATGTGAATTGAAATGCGTAATTTTATCGTTGTAGCAATATTTGTGGAACAGAGGAAGTATCTATTTAAAAATCTTTTTTATTTTAATCAACGAAATCAAAACTTATGGTATTACATTATTATGGTACGGAAAAACATTTAGAAGAGTCGTCATAAATCTTTTTTTCTTTCTCACATATCTCATATGATATGAACCCTATTACATTAAATATTAGAAGGATCTTATTAACGAACATCTCTGGCGCGTTAGATAACCCTTTAAAATACTTCATAACATGGCATTAATTTGGGAATGTATGTCAGAATCACGTGCCGTTCGGTGTAATTAATGTTTATTTCAAGTTTATATTTTACTTTTAGTATTCTTATCTAACAACGTCTCCGAAACGTTCGTTAGCTATTGTCATATTATAATTGTTCGAGGCAGCATTCGAGTCCTACACTCCTACACTAATATATAACATAAATCAAATTGAGAAATGCCGACACCTTAAGTCCTTAACCATACCGGTAGAGATATTCTTTTCTTCACACTTTAGAGAAAACAATATAGCTGTAAAATACAAACCAATGAAACCAAAGAATCAAACCTATTAAGCTAAACCTATTAAGCTTGTCAAAAAAAAAAAAAAAAAAAAGAAAAAAAGAATTAAGCTCAAAAAGGCTAGATTAGAGAGACTGTAGAGATCCAAAAATATAACCGCGTCAAAGAAAAACAAAAAAGAGTAAAAAAAAAAAAAAGTGGGTTTTAACTTTTAATTAATATATAGGTGGGAGACAAAAATAGATGGCATTCCCTGTAACAATTAACATTGTTGGCGGTACCTTCAGTTTATTCGAAGTTTTGGGCCGTCATATCATATCATATGACCCACCTCTTTTTTTTTTTTCTTTTTTTGTCAATTTTATTTTTATTTTTATGTTGGATAAAGTGTTTTTGTTTTTTTTTTTGTTTATCATGTCAATGATGAGTAGGCAGATAATGTTTTCAAGTAGATTTTGGTATTGGGATTGTCAATTTCACTTTTTTTTTTTCTTTTTCCTTGTTTTTTTTTTTGGTAAAAAAAAAGGTTTTGTCAAAAAAAAAAAAAAAAAAAAAAAGGTGATGTAGGAAAAATTAAAGAACAATGACTAATAAAGAATACCTATTCTATTACAGTGGAGAATATTTTTACTTTTTAGCACCAAGAAAAAGAAAGTAATTAGTGGAGAATTTTTTTTTCAGGTGTCAAAAAATGTTTTTCTACTTTGTGTATAATTTATATGAGAAGAATTAAGCAATGGTTAGAGGTTCATCTTCAACTGATACGAAGTAATTTGATTTGTCTCAAATAATAGATAACATAAATAAAACTCGCATAAAAGACGAATTTTCAATATCAACCTATAGATTAGGTTCTTGAAGTGGGACAGGAGAAGGAAATACTCACTCCCAGGATTGTAACTTGTAGAATTAATTTATACGAAGTATGACCTCAAAATGGAATAAGAATCATGCCAATCTACCAATTTACCCACTACACCAACCTACACTTTCTAAAGCATGATCAATTGATTATATGAAATTTATATGCTCCAAACATAAATACTAATATACTTCCTCCGTTCCAATAATATTGCAATAATGAGACTTTTGCACTATTCATCACTCTTGTTTGATCATATAATATGATTTATACGTTAAGCAAAATATAGTCATATGAGATCTTGCTAGATTCATGGTTTTGGGATGCGTAATTTCATCCTTATTGCAATATTATTAGAACGGAGGAAGTAGTACTTACATTATTCTTCAAATTTTTGTTTTAGGTCTTAGCTACCTTGAGAAAGAAATGTCAAAGAATAGATGAGAAACTTTGCAGCATACAGAAGTTTTCTACCAGACCTAGTTGCTGGTAGATGGAGAGACACTGTTTCTTCTACTGGACTTAATTCGTTTTTGGCTACATGAATAAGTTAACTTCACATTCACTCAGATATGCTTAGAGAAAGCCAGAGGCAGCGAGGCTGGCAACAGTAATACAAGACAACTTGTTGCCTTAATTCAGAGAACGTCTACTAGCTGAGTTTCGGTGTGGGAACAGGACATTAACAATTCATAATAGAACGTTCGTTTTCTATCAGAAGCATAAGCCACTGGACAACCAAGTTAGCAATCTAATACAGGTGCTACACTGCAGTAAACTCAACCAAATCATAACAGAAAAACTGAAGCAAACTTTCGATAGTTAAAAACAGAATTAATTCGATGTTAATTGGACTAACCTTCCAGGATTAATTTCACACAAACAGCAAGTTCTGAATTTTAAGTTACTGCTAGTACAACTTAGTGTTGTGTTTATCTCGAAAGGGTTTAGGGGGAACAAGTGTAGCTAGCTAATAACAAACAAGAAGTTCTATGTTTATTCACACAACAGGAAAACAAATGACTATTGACATGTTTTGTGTATAAATGATCAAAGGAAACAATTACAACTATGTAGGACATGTACAAATGATATTGGAATTAAATTCAAAGGCGAAAAAAAAGATAAAAGAATTTTGACAAACTACCTTTGTTTTTGTACAATTATACGACAATGGCACATACTATGAATTCATTGTAATGCCATGGTCATAGAGAACTCCTCCAATACATCTCCTTCCAAACCAGCTGCCCACCTCCGGAGTATTCGCATTAGCGAGGCAGCTTTCCTCTTAGCCCTCGCAGTCCCTGTCCCCATCAACTCCCATATGATCATTTCAATGGTTGTTATCCTTGCTAGCTCAGCTACCATTTCTGCTCCTCCTTTCCGACATATAATTACAAGGGTGGCAATCGCGCTCTCCTTGGTTCTATCGGTACCACTTCTTAACACAGCCACTAATCTTCCAATCATATGGCTAGCTGCAGCAATTGCAACAAAACCACCTTTCTTAACAATCGTTTCCATGATTGTCATCGCTTCCTCTGGTAGCTCGACCATAACCTCCTTTAGCATATCCAACACCGCGCCTTCAACCAACCTCCCTGCAGTCTCTCTATCTCCCGCTAAGGTCAATATCGCGACCAAGGCATCCCTCTTAGAGCTCGTAGGCCCTTCCCTAGCAAGCTCAAGCAATCCTTTAATAACGCGAGTCTTCTTCCCAAGCCTCTTCCTATAAGCACTCACCGCGCATAAACTATACATTGTAGCAGCCGCATTGGCCTTAGCTTCCCATGTTACACCCGAACGTAGCACCTCAATAACACCATTCAACGCCCCATCGGTCTCCATGATCCTAGCCTTATTCGCCTCAAGAATCGACAAATTAAGTATCGTCGTAACAGCATTAACCTGTAGCTTCGGATGATCCAACCCCAAATACCTTACCAACAACGGGATTGCCCCGGCTTCCCCTATACAAGCTCGGCTATCCGAGTCGGTCTTAGCAAACACCCTAAGCTCATATATAACCCGGTTAACCATATCAACCGCCTGCGAATCAGACCCTAACTTATCCAGCAAAAACGACACCGTCATCTTAGTCGCCTCGAACGCCGCCTTATTCAAAGCGACGCCGTTTTGACCTTCACTACTCTCGGCCGCCCCAAACGGGATCCTCCTCTCCCTACACCACATAGCAATCAAGCTCTTCAACGCTCTATTAGACACCAGGTTTGTGTTGACCAATGTTTGACCAGTCTTGGGACACGTGTTATGACCTGATTCGATCCAAAGCATAATTGAGGTTCGATCGTACGTCTGTCCTGTCGCCACAACAACAGGGTCAGACATCAGATCAAGCGTAATCGGACACCGGAAATCCGCCGGAATATTCGCCTCCGACGAATAATTCCGGCGAAAATTTTCGTCGGAATTTATACTCGAAGAAGCGCCGTAAAGCACGCATTTCGTGTATCTCACAAGTCCGATCAACGAAACCACCTCTGATTTTGATTTCTCATCTGTTTGACACTGAATTTCGTCTTCCAACCACTCGATCTCCTCTCTGCAACTCGCTGAGTCACTCATTCCGAGTTTCGCGAACAATTCAGCGAGTTTCAAATGATCAGGAACAATCTCCTTCTTAATCGAATCAAGCATGGTGAAAACCTCAATTCGCAATCGATTATCGGAAGGATCAACAAACGATTTATCTTCACGGCACTGTTTGATCAACAAATTCCGCAATTCATCAACATCTTCGCTCAAATTAAGCTCACTTTTGGGGAGAATTTCAAGCAAAGTCCACAAATCCAAAGTCAACTCATGGAAACTACTGGAAATCGGCTCAATCTGCATCAGAAGCCATAATTTGCTTCCGCCATTAGAGCAATCTTCAATCAAAGCTCTGATTCGCTGTAAAACGATGAACATCTCTTCGAAGCAGAGAAGCGAAGAAGGCGAAAAAAGCGCAGATAAACGGTGATTAAACTGCCGGAAAACCTCGTCAATAATGACGGCGAGAAGACAGCATTTCCGGATAATCGAAGTGGAGTTTCGCTTGAAGAGGAAGCAAGGAGGATCGAGGGCGGAGATCTCAGAGGAGAGAGAGTGGAGTGCGCGGAGGAGGTCGGCGGTGGAGAGCTGAAGCGAGAGAAACGACGTCGGAGATGGTCGTCGCCGGCGTTGCGGGAAAACCGTCGGAGAAACCGCCATTAATGGAGGAGGTGAGAGAAAGAGAGAGAAATTCTCAGTAATAATCAGATGAAATGAAATTATAAAAGCATAAAGTATTATAAATTGAATATGAAGGTTTTTTATGTAAGAATAATAAAAGGTAGATTGATTGGAAAATTTTAAGACATTAAAGCCGAAAAAATGGAAGACTTTATTAATAATGACAATTTTATTACAGTGATATAAAAAAATTAAAAAAAAAAAGGAGGAAGGATTGAAGAAAGTTGGTTTGTTTAGTTTAATTTTATTAGTTTTCTTTTTTATTTTTGAATTATTCTTTGAGGTGTTGTTGGTATTAGCACTACTAATTCAATTGCTTGATTTTATTCTTTAATTGTGTGCTTGCATTGCTTGTTAAAATTATTTTTGGTCAAACCAATATAGTTGAATGGCTGTGCAAATTTTTTATGTTTGTGTGCTATATGATTAAATCAAGTTTTTAAAAATAACTTGTACTAAGTATGTGATAATTGCATGACCAAGTTGTTGTCAAGAGGTTTAGGTAATAATAATAATATCGAGAATGAATAATGGATACATTTATTATTCAAGCACCTTGCGATCAAGTTTCGTAAGTTAGTAGATAAGCGAAATTGATAAGGTTAAATTATTGAAATAGATGTTAAAAAAGTTAGTTAGTTGGTCATGTTCTATGGATAATATGAGAATAAATTGAATAATTCTTACATTTATCTACTTTAATTTGTATTACCATCCTTGAAAATTTCCTTTTTTTTTTTATATATAAAAATATAATAATACAAATCTAAAATTTTTAAATAACGCATTGAGAATAACCAATAATATTTATGTAATACTTCCTCTATTCTTTTTTACTTGACCTGTTTCTTTTATCACGCTTGTCAACGCGCAAGGTTAACCATCAATAACTTTAATTCTCTATAAGTAAAAATTTTTAAATTTATATATTGTGATAATACTTATTTAGACGATTCTAACAAGATCCCACATGAATATAATATATTTTTCCTTACATATAATTCACAAAAGACGATCAAAGATAGGGTGGTGAATAGTGTAAAAGTCAAAGCGGGTCAAGTAAAAAAGAACGGAGGAAGTAGCATTTTTCTTATTTATAGACATTTAAAATCTTAGTTTAAACTAATTATTAGTTTGTAGAAAGATTAACAATGAGTAGGTAACTAGGTAAATAAACAAAATTTGATCTTAGATTTTGAATACAATCCCAACATTTTAACCGACTACTCCGTATGAATAAATAGTTGACATCCACAATAATATAATTACATAATTCAACTGTTGCAATTAATCCGGCACTAAACAAATTAAAGAAAAACGGTAGGTTAAAGCACATAAAACATCAACCATGTAACATCCTGAAAATAAAGAAAGCACGAGGTATCTACTCTTCTAGGTTTGATTAATTAGTTAGTACCAATTCCATTAGCATGCAAAAATAATGCGACGGCGGCGCATACAATATTGAAAGCAAAGCATGTTTTAGATGTATTGTCTAACCAAAGAGTAGAATAGTAGATAGCCACCATTGTATTGCTTCAAGCCACCAACTAAACAAGAGTATCTAACTAGTCATTGCCTTCAAGCAACTTATTTGGCTAGCCACTTCATTCATCACCGTTTTAAGTTTGGTATTAAATGTAGGACAGAGATCTTTGTATAGTTTTTTAAGGGCATTTTTGGAATTTTACTTTGTTAAAATAGATATTGCACTTTTCTTACATATATTATCCGTCAAATTAAAAAGTTAGTAAATATTTTTCTTTCATTTTAAAAAGTTGTTCACATTTAATTTTTTATTTGTAAATTGTAATGTTTTTTATATTCGTATTTTTAAATTAGTAAAGTTGTACAAATATGTTAAATACGTATTTATAACAAGAAGAATTTTGTTATGGGTATAATTTGTATGATGCCACTAGGTTAAATTTGCAATAGTGATGGATTCAACAAGGTCAATTAAATTATTATCAAGAAGGGATTCAATGTTACACAAGTGTAGGTGTTCAAGGTTCAGTCGGTTGGAGAAGGTCAATAAGGTAGTCCACGTATGCACCAAATGTCGATACTTGATGTATGACGGTTGCAATGACATCATCAAATGAATTATAGTGATACATATATCACTAATGTCTGCAGTTGAAAACTATTATCCGATGGTTAACAACCGATGTTCAATGATGATGTCTGGCGCTACTGCGCTAGTGGACATTGACAACCGATGTTCAATAACGGCGTCCGTCGTTAGTGGACTAGCTAGACTACACCAAAGAACTGAGTCAAAAATCTATCTAATAGCCTAGAATGAGTCAAAGAAACAACTCAAACGCATATATAGCCTTATTTGATCCATGTTTAGTGAATAATTCCTTAAAAATTTGCATGCAAACGTGGATTAAAATTGCAAACAATTTCTATTTTAAAGGTTCCAATATGTATATTCTTAAAAAAAATCAAGTTTGTATAATTGATCAAGCCATTTAAATTTGCTTCTAGACTTTTTCTTATTTGGGAATTAAAATTACTCGATTTGCTTCTAGATAAAGAGGAGATTGTAATTTAATTACACAATCACATGGTATGGTATCAAAATCAACGTTTGCCGTATTGAAAAAACTTAACCCAATCAAGGTTTTACACTTTTTGCTATGTACTCCGCATTAAACGTTTTTGAAGGACCATATTCTTTTTGGCCCCAATTGATGCTATCTCCTTGGTTGAACTTACCCAAATTTGGTACTAACGGATTTGACACCAATTTTATTTTACGAATCGGAGTACTCCTTTGGAAAATGCAATCATTATTGATTTTGGACATCTTGCTGTCAACATGCTACTCATTCTACTAAATACTACTCCCTCCGTCTCTTATATTTTGCCGCATAGTGTAATGTTGCTTTATTAAGTTTTGGTTGAAAAAAGGTGATGAGAAAGAAAAGTGGTAGGGTTAATAGGGTGGTTGTGAGAGTAGAAATGTGGACCCATATGTCTAAAAATAAAATGGGGCAAAATTAAAGAGACGAACTAAAAAGGAAATTGGGGCAAATATAAAGGAACAGAGGGAGTACATAACCTTGAATGGCATACATGTCGATGCATTAGTTTGACCATTAATATTTTTAATTATATATTACTAAAAAGTACATAAAAACTTGATCTAATGAAAATACACATAAAAATTAATCCAAAAAAATTATATGGCAATATATGTTTTTTTATAAATTGATTAAAAATAGTGTCAAAATAAATATATGAATAGTGCAAAAGTTAAAGTGTTGCGATTATTATGAAAAAAAGGAAGTAATATTTTTTTAATTATTGCTTCCATTAACTAATGACTGGTAGCAAAAATTTATGAACCGTGTATGATGTATTATATGTTCAAATTTATTCGACCTCTTCATTTGTAATTTGTGACTTATTCGCACAAAAAAAAAAGAATTAGTTATGTTCAAATTATTTTCAGAAGTACAAATGTTATATTAACAATTGCAAGTGAAAAAAACAAAAGAACTACGTAGTAATTATTTTTTAATGCAACCCTTGTATGTTGGGCCTACATACAATTTGATATGACTTCTTTTTATTAGTTGTCAAATTTGGCCCCAAATTCCACTTATTTTGAATTCCATTTGAATTCAAAATGAAATTTCTAATAATATAATATTTGCAATTCAAATAATTTGTCATTTCCAATGATCAAATTTAATTTCTGAATTTATTTTTTTATTTTTTTATTTTTTATTTTTTTTAAAAAAAAACTCTACTGTTTATTTGTCTTCCATGAAACAACAAATTACTTTCCTCTCGTTGAATTTGTCTTCCATGGTGAACTTGATTTTATTTTTTATTTTTTTTATTCTTCTGAATTTACATATCTCTTTGTATGTGGGTATCCTCAAAATTGTTCTTAAAATGTACTCCATCTCTTCTTTAATGGACCACTCTCTTTCTCTAACTCTAACATTGCTCAATAATAATTTGGTTGGTAAACACAATTTTTTTTGTATTGACAGTATCCAGTTCATTAAAATGGAGTTCTATCCAGCAAGAGCATTACATAGGGGGTGTATTCCTCTATCCAAACACGGCACTCTAATATTCTAATGTACATTTTTATATATTATATTCATCAATTTAAATATGAGTGGTAAATTAATCTAAGATTCATATTACTTCGTATTAGATTAGAGGCATTGCACCCACCTGACACAATTTTTGGCTTGCATATGGCATAAATCTTAATTAATTAATTAATCTTTATAATGTTATTTTTATGTTTAAATACTAATTTAAATCCCTCCCATATTTTTGTCTTCATTAAAATTCAAGTTGAATAATTTAGATATTATTTTCAAAGGGTTAAAAGATGAAAATATTAGTCAATAAATGTAAGAGATTAAATTGCTTACATTATTATTTTAATTATTAGATATAGGAGATTCAAGGGACATAAGAATGTCAATAATGGAAGACATATAATTTTAGATATAAGAAAGTTGAAATTGAAGAAATTCCCCACAAAATGACGAACGCAATAGTTTTGTAAATTAATTGGCAACAAAAACCGTTAATTTAGTAAGTACATGATTAATTACCGATGATATATGACAGAATAATATATTTTATTTGCAAAATGCTTACATGGTGAATATCTCGCAATGTTGGTTACTAACACTGCTCATAAATTGTTACACATTTAATTTGCATCGGATAATATCCAAAACTATACATTCTATGCATAAATGACACGTTTTTTAGTAACAATTTATTACTAATGAAATAAGTCGTAAACAAATGGAATATTTAGTAAAGTGACAATAATTATATAGTGTGTAACTAATCGTGATTCGATTTAAACTCTTAATTATTTTATTTAAATCTTCGAATCTATAAATTAAGTCTTACTACACTTAGATTGTAACTCTCAAAGGCCTCAATAATATTTCAAATTTGATGTTAACAATTGAAATGGCAAAGTAATGTTGCATGTTAGTACATATACAACGATTGTTGATTACATCATGTTGTGCGAAACTAATTAACCTTCATATGAGTCAAACATAATTTTACAAACTTAAACATTTAATACCATGCATGATTGTTGATTAGGGGAACATGTTGTAGAAATATAGGCGATTTTATAGTAAGCAGAAATGATTGTATGTATTCTAAAGTGATTTGTTTCTAGCCTTTCACTATTTGATTTTAACCCTTCATCCTATGACTTTTGCACCTTCCTTCGAAATATTTTTTCTAGTAATAACATTATGATTAATAATAGGTTTAAACATATGAGAGTATTTAGGAACGAGTGAAAATAATTTTATGTAACATTTTGTGATTTAATTTTAACTCACTTTTTTTTTTAATTTAAACCCTCTAATATGTAGTATAAGCTATATTTACAACAAATGATTTGAATTTGTTATTTAGAATCGACAAAGATTGTAACTCTCGC